CTGCAATCACAGCCCTGGATTTCTGCTTTAGCTTGAGTTCAGTTGCTCATCCCTCGCTTTCCATGTTTTATTTCAGGTACTCATTGACCGATCAGGGTCTGGCTCTAGCCGAGAAGCTGGATTCAGAAGAGTCGGGGATGGCTAAAGAACATGTGGAGCAAATGAGTGAAGAGGAGGACTCTCAGGATGGACCAGACGTTGTAGACCTGACTTTAGAGGAGGAGGATGAGGAGGAGCAGGAAGATAAAGAGAGTTGGTGAGTAGAAGCAGGTTGGCTTTTGCATAAGTGCAAAGACGTGTCCAAAATGTTTTGCATGTTGGGAGGGTATGAAGCAGTGCCAGTAGTGGCATATTAACTGTATAAACTTTCATCTGCCAGTAGGTCCAGCAAGTCTTCAGAAAGGCTTGCAACAGCTCTATCTGTAAACCAGGCCAGAGCTCACATCTCTGAATCAGACGCCACAGGAAAATCTCAGACCTTAGAGTCGGGGAGAACAGCAATGAGTTGGCATCTTCCACCTGGCTCTTACGACATTGTGTTGTGTGTCGACGTCATCGAAACAACAGGGTAAGAGGAAAAGAGAGTATAAGAGATTTAATTTCAAGTTTCTCTAATGAATTGTCTTTTATAAAACAGACAGTAGTTTGTAGAATTATATCACAGTGATAATCTGAACTTGACAGGGGAAGCAGTGGTCGCAAACAAGAATTGGTTAAGGAATTGCAAAGGAATTGTGTGACCTTTGACATCAGAAAACTGAATGTGGGCGATTTCCTTTGGGTGGCTCGTGAGAAAGTGACACCTGTTCCTGGTAAGTCAACTAGCAATTTTTCCGTTGTTTAACAGAGATTCAGGACTAGTTAATAACCAGCAGATGGCATTGTTGCTCTTAGAAGAAATGCACAATAAAAGTTTAGTAGGTCAAATGAAGACATTTATATAAAGTTGTTCTCAACCTTAGGGACTTCAAGACAATATTCAGAGGCCCTCCTATCTAAGCTGATATGTACTTCTGTTGTAATAAAAAGTTTAATATTGAACATCTTTATTTTTATTTATTTTACATTTTAATTAAATTGTCAATATAGCAATTTAACAATTTAAAGGAATAGTTCATCCCAAAAATGAACATTTACTCACCCTCACTTAATCCAAGGTATAGATGAGTTTGTTTCTTCATTAGAACAAATTGGATTATTGTGATGTTTTTATCAGCTGTTTGGACTCTCATTCTGACGGCAGAGGATTCATTGGTGAGCAAGTGATGTAATGCTAAATTTCTCCAAATCTGTTCCGATGAAGAAACAAATTCATTAACATCTTAGTTGGCCTGCGGGTGGTTAAATTATATGCAAATTTTCATTTGTGGTTGAACTATTCCTTTAAATCATTTTAAGACTTTTTGGGGCCCCCTGGAGGATTGCAGTGGCCCCCTAGTTGAGAACCACTGTTTTAATAGATTCAATCCATTAAAGGAACACGCCACTATTTTTGAAAATAGGCTCATTTTCCAACTCCCCTAGAGTTAAACAGTTGAGTTTTACCGTTTTCGAATCCATTCAGCCGATCTCTGGGTCTGGCGGTAGCACTTTTAGCTGTAGCTTAGCATAGATCATTGAATCTGATTAGACCGTTAGCATCTATTTTCAGGCGCTGCGTAATATCATTGCGCCTGCTGCACCCATGGTACGGCAGCAAAGTTCCTTGGTTATTACGCCGGAATGAGAGTATAGTTCCTAGCCATATCAGCCTAGAAAATCGCAACTTTTCATTTTCCGTCAGTCTTAGTACAGGATATAACAACAGAAGAGTCCAGTTTTAAATAGGGAAAAATATAGAAACTTTGGTCATTTTTAAGCGAGATGCTAACGGTCTAATCAGATTCAATGATCTATGCTAAGCTACAGCTAAAAGTGCTACCGCCAGACCCGGAGATCGGCTGAATAGATTCAAAAACAGTAAAACTCAACTGTTTAACTCTAGGGGAGTTGGAAAATGAGCCTATTTTCAAAAATAGTGGAGTGTTCCTTTTAAGTTTTTTTTTTTTTTAATTATTATTATAAAGGTTCAACATGTACAAATTCCAAAAAAAAAAATTGTGTCCTCCCTCAGGACAGCTGCGTCCACCTGTGGGGAAAGAGCTGGTGCTTGATTACATAATTGAGAGGAAGAGGATGGATGATCTGTGTGGAAGCATTATAGATGGACGCTTCAGAGAGCAAAAGGTTTGAAACATGACCTATATATATATATATATATATATATATATATAAAAATGAACCTTGAATCCCATTTTATCTTGATAACCTCTATTTATCTGCTCTCTAGATATAATGAAAAGAATTGAGAATTTATTTGTGATTTATTATTTTCTTATTTATTTTTTCCTGTCGCATTCTCATGCTTAGTTTCGACTGAAGAGGTGTGGTCTGCGTAAGCCCATTTATCTAGTGGAGGAGTGCGGATCAGCGGCGGCTCATCTCAGTTTACCTGAGAGTACATTACAACAAGCAATAGTCAATACACAGGTATACAGCAGGCCATACAGACCATCATGAAATAGTGGATGACGATGATGATGTGCTTGTATAAGTGTGTAATTCGCAGGTGGTTGACGGCTTCTTTGTGAAGCGTGTACAGGATGTGAAAGAGTCTGCTGCTTACCTCACCATCATGACCAGATACCTCCAGAAACTCTACCATGTATGTTTTACAGTCAAATCAATGCAGCATGTGTGAAGCACTTCTTAATTTGTGTAAGGATTTTTTTGTGCTTTATTGTTATTGAGACTTTCGTTTTTTTCATCGTCAGAAATGCACGTTATTCTGTCGCTCCAGAGAACTGGAGGGCGATGGAGGAGATGAGAGTGAGCAAACAGCAAACATCTCTTGTTCTCTCATGGCCTTCACAGAATTTAACTATGGGGCTATTAAGAACAAGGTAATGTTGACATTTGAGAAAGTAGGGTTGCACTGATATTAAAATTATGCCCGATATGATTTCCTGATAACATGAAAATAATTATTGCTGGTATGATGAATGACAATATAAAAAAAATAACACAAAAAATTTAAATTGGTATTGTGACGCATAAGTGAATTTAGACACACAATATTATATTATACATAATAAAGTATGGTTAAATATTCATTTTGAAATGAGAAAGTCCTGAAAACTGCCTTTGTTGAACTAGAACACTTAAAGAATTAAAATAAATTTTAGATTACTATCATCAAGTACTAACTTAAAGAGCCCGCAATTAAATATCCAGTATCAACCAATACTGATAAATAAAATAAATAAATATATATACATACATACAACAAAGGTCACCAGTTAATGTAATATATATATATATTAGCTGGTGACCTTTGTTGTCCTGATATCACATGAATTTCTGTGAGAAAATGTTTTTTCAGTGTTTTTTTCATCATAAATCCTACTATTATTTCTAATCAAGATCTCTGTCTCATGCAAACACAGTGCCAGACAGTGCGGGAAGTATTTGCACGACAGCTTATGCAGATCAGTGGAGTCTCTGGTGATAAAGCAGCAGCTGTTCTTGAACACTACAGCACAGTCAGCAGGTGTGACTCGCTCTCCACTTTTGCAGAAACACTTACTCATTAAAACTAATTTACATTCCACTATCACAGACACTCATTAAATTATTGTCTACCGTCCTGCTATCACAGACACACACTCATTAAATCACTCATTTATATTCTACTATACCAGACATTTACTCGCTGTATGAAATGAAAATTACTGTATTCTATAACAACTGATTGGTAACGCTTACAGATGACATTATGTCAAGGTCATGTCATAATACCCATGGGTTTGCTTAATCATCTGGAAAAGCCTATTGGCTTTGCTTGATTTTATTTTTTTTAATCATTCATTCTTTCTGTAGTTTATTGCAAGCATATGATCAGTGCTCCAGTGAATCAGAAAAAGAGAAGCTGCTTTCATCTATCAAATATGGAAAACTCAAAAGGTTTTTGTTCTTTGATTTGTTCTATCTATCTGTATGTATTTGAATGTGTGTGTGTTTGTTTAAAATTAATCAATGTAATGGCTTTGCTTGCTTATCTGCTAAGAATAGCTATATATATACACTTCTGTTCAATGTTTTGGAGTCAGTAAGATATTTCGAAAGAAAATAATTTAAGTATTTATTAGGATAAGTCATTTAAAGAAATGTATATTTTTATTCAGCAAGGATGCAATAAATTAATCGTAAGTGACTGTATAGACCTACATTTTATTTCAAGTAAATGCTGTTTCTTTGAACTTTCTATTCATCACTGAATCTTGAAAAGAATGTGTTGTGGTTTCACCAAAATATTAAGCAGCACAACTGTATTCAACATTGATAACAAAACGAAATGTTGAGCTCCATATCAGCATATTGAAGGATCATGTGACACTGAAGACTGGAGTAATGATGCTGAAAATTCAGCTTTATCATCACAGGAATAAATTACATTTTAAAATGTTGTAAAATAAAAAAACAGACATTTTAAATGGCAATAATATTTCACAATATTACTGTTTTTACTGTATTTTTGATTAAATGCATTCTTCATTGAGCCTAAGAGACTTAAATATATTTTTTTTAAAAGTTGCTATATTATGATGTATGTTTTTTTTATTTATTATTGCAGGAATCTTGGACCAGCCTTGAGCCGCACTATATATCAGCTTTACTGTACGCGTGGACCTCTGTCATAGGCTTTCATCTTATTACAAATACAAATTTGTGCAACACCTCGGTTTAATCATTGTCTTTTCATTTTCATTCTGTACATTTGTTGACTCTCAAATAATGTCCAAAGTAATAAAGAGATAAATTACAGTTTTTCTAATTGGCTGTCTGTATGTTTCTCACCCCTCTGGAGTATTGCAGTTCAGTTCTATGCTTCAAAACAAAAGCTGCTAACTTGCTGTGCCTAAGCGTTAAGCACTGAAGCGTATGGTTTTAAAAAAGGCAAAATGTGCATTAAAATGAGGGAAAGAATTGCGAGGGGGCATTGGTGCAATGGATTGGGACTAGCTGTATGGGGAAAGTAGGTGACATCAGTTAAGAAGGGAGTGTTGATGTAACAGCTGCTCTACCTTACAGGAGATTGGAGGGGGACTCCGCTGACGTCCTCTGAATCTCTCTCAAGGAGAAACACGCATATCAACAAACGAGTAGGGCGCCTTGGATCGACGCTGCTTGCTTTAGTGGAAATGTGTTTTGACGTTTTGCAGCCTACATCCAGTATTCAGACAGGCGCGTGCGTTATCAAATCCTCGATGCATTCTCTTCCCATCATCCATGTTTCTGGACATACAGTCATAACAACAATCTCATAACCAACACAGTGAAGGTGATGGTGAAATGGTCAGAACCGAGAGACTATTTGAGAAGAAGTCCATGCACTTGATGTGTGAAGGGCAAGAAGGAGACGGAAAGTGCGGGTGGGTAATGTGGCGTTGTTCATGCGACTTCGCCCAGGCTGCCGCTCTCGAGCAACCGTATCGGGACCAGCGGCGGATGGGGTGACTTACCCGCAGGGGTAGACCCGGACGAGGGCCGCCACATCCTGAAGCCATCCCCGGGGTGTCTCCGTGGGGCTGGAGGGACGGGGGAAAGATGCAGGAGGCGACGGCAGATGGAGAGGAGCCCATTCTGAACGGAGCTGGGAGGGAAGAGGTGAGACGAGGGCGTGTAAATTCTACCAAATCCTAAATAAATGGTGTGTGTTGTGTTTACATAGCCAGGTTAGCTGGTATTGCATGCTGCAATCATTATTAATGTCGAGCACAGGAACACTGTCACGACATGTATGGCAAGCCGTTTTAACATTTGTTCCTGACAAATTTTAATTTCTTGGTAAACAGTCCAGTAATAAATACAGTGGCATATTTTTCAGTTTCACCAGTATTCATTTGATACTAGCTCTTATTCCATATTTATTCCAGTTTTACTAGCACTTTTTTAGATAATTAGACCGTCATAAGACAAATCTATACCATTTGTTACTAGCAACATATCTTGTTACAGTTTACTTATAAATGTTTACTTGTCATATATCATGACTAGTCAGAATGGCTTATTTATAATTTAATTAAAAAATATTACCAATTAGATTAAGCAACAATAGAAATGCATTACTGTCTAATAAATAAATACCAGTGTATATTCAGTTGCTACTAAGAATACTAGAACACTTTTAACTGATGTTACTGTTACTAAAAAAGTACTAACACCCAAGTAAGTTCTTGATAAAAATAAAATATGTAATGAATAAGTATTAGTGACTGTTATAGTATACATATTATTAGTGAATATTATGAAGAGTAACTAGAGAAACTGAGCAAGATACAGGTCTCTACTGCAACATAAAATAGTAACTAGTTGATAAGGAATATCATAAGCCATATAAACAGCTTGCCATATGACATGATCAAGCTGTACTCTTGCCAGTATTTCAGTCTCATAATTGTTTTGATGGTAAAAATTGAGATCAGTTTATATTATGTCTCTCCACAGAAAACATGCTGCAGTATATTTCCTGTTAACCATGTTTTATCGCTGACCTACAGTTTGTTGTTTCTCTAGATTTCTTTGTCCTCAATCAGGCTCTCTTTTCTCTTGGAAATAAAGAGGTCATAATTGCACAAAAAAGTATTGTGGTGGTACATTGATGTTGTTATGCTAATATTGTTGTACCGAATGATTGCCATGTTCACATAACATAAGATTGCATGGTATTATAAGGTACTATAAGAAAACCATGGTAGTAAAAGATGCATTAAATTGGTCATTCACATTTTAGTTTTTTGTCATCTTAGTTTATTAATCAGAACATGTAACTAAAGAAAGTGTGTTACCAATAGAACACAGTTTAAGTAATGCAACGGTGTATCATAAAATGATACATATTCTACACACAGGGTAATTTGTTTTTTTCCCCCCTCAGGTCTTGGCAGAGCTTTTCCCTTGGGGCTGTTGTTTTACTACCAGCCTTCTTGGCAATGTCTCTTCCTCTTTCTCATTTGTCTGCCACTGTTCTTAGCTCATGCTCTTCCGTCTGATAGATGTACTCTCACTGGTACAGTATCTGATCAAAGGAGGTCTGTGTTATTTCAAGGCAGATAATGACTTAGGTTAGGTCAACAAATCTGAGACAAAGCTCAGACCAGAGTCAGCACTGACCTCCAGGCCCTCTATATTAACAAACTACAGCATTTCCCTCTCTCTCTCTTCTCTATTCATTCATTGGTGCTGAGTTAACCTCCTGTCTCTTGTTACATGACGATCAATAGAAATGGAGACAGCTTGAAGGGAAGAAAGCTGTGAGTCATATCAGAAATGCAGTTTTAAAATAATTAGGATGGCAGCAGTAATAGGCTACAATGGATAGTGTGATATTTCTGTACATTTTAGTAGGGCATTAGTGTGGCACAGGCTGTTGAAGGATAATGAAAGACTGAAGTCAAGTGAAGGATGCTGACAGAGTATCTGGCTTTGACATATCACTCCACCTGCCAACATACTTATCTCTCTGACTGTAAAGATGTATCATATTCCAATGTCTTTCTTTGTGTTATGTTTTGTGTTCCTCTCTCTTGCATAGTCCATTTTCTTTCAGTCATTTTCAATTAACCAAACCACAAATTCAGAATCTTATGATTCAAATAGCTACACCAGTCATTCAAAGGCCATAATCCTCTTGCTACTTACACTCCAATGTTAATTTCTGAATTTGTGGTTTGGTTAATAGAAAAATACTGAAAGAAAAGGGGCTATGGATTTATGGAAGAGAGGAGATCATTATGCAGAGTGTTCAAGACAGAGTGCAAATGCACATTTCAAATCTAGATTGTGCAGTTTTATTTTTTTTAATGTCATGGACATGGACAAGATTTACTGTGATTTTATTTTCTTTCAGAAAACTTCACTTGCATCCCAGTTGACATCTTATACACATAGAAAGAAGCATTTAGCATTCCTCATTCTTTCATTCTTTTTCATTGTCCTGTGACATCAGACTGTAAAGGATTCTCTTTGTCGTGGCTGGACTTTTTGAATGCCTGAGAGAACGAATGAATTGCAACCAACACTATTGTTTATAGACTAAAAATGCTTAAAAATTCAGAATACAGTTGATAAGAATTTGCATAATGAGATCCATTAGGCTCAAAAAATAATATTCCAAAATAAAACAGCAGACAGTTTCTCAAATAGCAAATAGCTTCTTATCACTGGTTAGCACACTTTTTCTGACAATTGCAGTAAAAAGTACTTGTCTGGAATCTCATGGCTGGTATAAAGTAATTAAGTCTATATTTTTTAACCTAATGTGCATGTAATTTATTTCAGGCCAGGCCATGAGTGCTGTGTAATTTAACCATACATGTAATTTGCAAATATAATATGACATCTATTTTTCTCCAAGCAATATTCAATCCTAAATATGTCTTTATTATTATAACCTATTGTCCACATGCTCACTCTGACATATTCTCTTTGTCCTTACCTCTTTGCAGCAGCGACCAGTGAAGCAGTCCTTGGCTGCCTCTCTGTGTCGAGAGTCTCACTGGAAGTGTCTTCTCCTCACTCTGCTCATGTTCGGGTGTTTTGGCACATTGGCCTGGTGCAAGCTGTGCAAAGTTCCAGTGCTAGCTCCGACAGAGCCCGAGGCTGCTGTCGTGGAGCCTGGAGACCCATCTACGACCTCAGCAAGCTCCGATGTCTACATCCCCCTAGAAGTGGATTTGGATAGTCCCTGTTCCAGCGGCTACATTTATATTCCTCTCGCTTTCCTGGCCATGCTGTACGTGGTCTACCTGGTGGAATGCTGGCACTGCTACTCCAAGACAGCCATGTTGGCTCAAGCAGAGGTTGCGGAGGTGTATGAGCGTGTACAAAGGCTGCAGCAAGCAACGCCGTGCATTTGGTGGAAGGCCATCAGTTACCACTATGTGCGACGGACAAGACAGGTAACGCGCTACCGCAACGGGGATGCCTATACCACTACACAAGTGTATCATGAGCGTGTAAACACGCATGCCGCAAGCTCAGAGTTTGACTATGCGAGGTATGGCGTCAAAGATGTTTCAAAGGAGCTTAGAGGCCTAATGGATTACCCAGCGGTACGGCTGCGCTTCACCAAATGCTTTAGTTTCGCCAGTGCCCGAGCGGAGGCTGCCTACCTCACCCAGCGAGCACGTTTTTTTGGTGAAAACGAAGGACTTGATGATTACATGGAGGCACGGGAAGGAATGCATTTGAAGAATGTGGACTTCCGTGAGCACATCCTTGCTTTCCCAGACCCAGCCAGACAGCCCTGGTACGCCAGGCGTAAAGTTTTCTGGCTGGCCTCAGCCCTGCTCCTGTCCTGGCCACTTCGGGTTGTTGCGGAGTATCGCACTGCGTATGTGCACTACCATGTAGAGAAATTGTTTGGTGATGCTGATGATAACAGTAGGGGTGACGTAACTGAGAATGGTGGAGTCAACGAGAATGGACACAGACCTGGACCTGGGACCGGATCAAGCTATCGTGCCATTTCACGTGTCAATACTGTGGACATGACAGAGCTGGAGTGGCACATTCGCTGCAACCAGCAGATGGTGCCAAGCTACTCTGAGGCCCTGTTGATGGATCCTGGTTCCGGGGGTAACCAAGGTACCAACACTCCTCCAGCTGGGCAAGGGACTAACTCAACAGCGGGTGGCCCAACTCTTCCAGTGGCCTTCACTTCGGCCTACTTGCTCCAGAACTGTCCTCGTTGCCGCCGCACCACAAGCAGTGCTTCCCTTCCGTCCCGGCTGAGAGGCCCGACTGCAGCCCTGCTGAGTGGAACCATGGCTGGGATGAGAGCTAGTGGATCAGGAGGTGGTCCTGGAGGCCCGGGACGGCTGGTTCTGAGCAGGAGCGGCTTCTCATTAGGACGGCTCCAAGCTCCTCGGCCATCGTCCCTCTTCCACTCCCGAAGTGTCGGTGGAGGACTTGCGACAAGAGGAGAAGAGGCAAGTGGGGGAGGTGGTTTCTTAGGTTTGGGAGCTAGACAAGACGAAGAGAGCAGAAGAGTACTGGGGGGAGAGGGTGATGAGGATGAGGAGGTGCTAAATGTGGTGGACAGAGAAGGAGGAGGAGGTGAGAGAGACGTGGAGGAAAGAGAGCAACAGGAGGACGCAGAAGAAGATCAAGCCAGGGAGGGAGACGGACTTCCTACATATCAGGATGCCTTTTTCTTCCCGGTGTTGATTGTGCATGGAGAGGAGAGTTGCCATTCAGGTGAGGACAATTCCTGAAGAATGCCCATCAAAAAGTGCATTGAGGTGGCAAGAAAAAAAAGAGAGATGATTAGAAAAGTCATGGCCAAATAGAATGTGAAGGCAGTAATTTGTCAGTTGAGCTCCACTCCCCTTGGTCACTGTTGCTAACTCAGACAAACTTTACAGAATATACCATAAGATTGAACTAGAGATATACATACACTGTGAGTTTTTACATTTTAAATTATGCATGCATATGAATGAGTAAAAAAAAAAGGTTAAAAACCGACGTCAATGCTGACCACAGGAAACTGAATAGAGACACACCAATTTTTAATAGAGATGAATCAATACGTATGTAGTTAGCAATTAGATAAAGTAAATATACAGCTTGTATCAGCTCCAGGTACCTCGTGCCACTATTATGTGACCTGGTAACAATGTTTTACCATAATATCTGTAAAATTGCATTTAAGAATATCCAATCACTCAGATCCACCATAGACTTTCATTAAAAGTGCAAAAGCTTGTCTGAGGAAACAACTAATGCCAACAGTTGCTAAGTGGGATTGGTCCATAAAGTTTTTAAGGCAGCACTTGGAGATTGGTCAGTTGGTTTAGTTTAAGACTGATGCATATATTGACCAAACAATGATTGATGTTAATATAAACGTATCTATGCAATAAAGAAACAGCAAGAAAGTGTTTGTTAAACTGTAGGGGGATGCACAACAAAAGAACTTTTAATAAACTGCACCTCCTCTGGTCATGAAGCAAAATGCACCAAGAGACATGCTATTTAAAGACAAGACCATTGGAAAGTCTTCCAAAGATCATGAAAAGAACTGTACAGTTCAGCTCAAGAGGAATGTTAATCTATACACATCATAACATACAGCTGTGTCCCACAAGTCAAAAAAAGTTTTGTTTTATATAAAAAAAGAAGAAAAACAAGAAAAAAGTGAAGAACCTCATAAACTTGCACAAAATGTTGGGATTCAACTTCTTGAGACATTTCATTGGAACTATTTAAGTATTTTTTCTTTCAAAATTCCCTCACTGCATCTACTGTTCTTCTGAAATAGATCTTTGATAGAACTAACAGATTCCATTAATATCACAAGGACTATAATCATATTAAGCTGTTTTCTTGCAGCTTCATTGAGTATTTTCTTTCTGCAGGCTTGCAAGTCCCAGTAACACATTTTTGGTTTGCTTATCAGAAAACTAGAAAAAGTATGTGGAGATGTTTCCTCAGCTGAAACTACAGCACCAAATGTTGCTTCTGTGAGGTGCTGTAATCACTTTGTTAACTTTATTAACTTTATTTACTTTAAAATTTATTGTTTGTCAATAATTGTTTATTTGTACAGCATCATATCACCAATTTGCCTCATGAAGTGCTTGACACAGAAGAGCACCTCACAGGTGCAGCATGTTGCCCTCCATCGTAGCCTCTTTGCTTATCTTTGATTGGCTAAAGTGTCATGTGAATAAATAGGCCAATAGTAAATGAGACTGCTTAGTGTGCCAAGATACATCCATCTCCTGGTAACTGTGGATCCTCGTGAAGACGTCTTAGTAGTGAGTTCACTGCAGCATACACATGTGAATGTGTTTAATAATTGGAAAATGTGTACAAACGCAAATCTTCCTGCTTGTGTTATGCTGTCAAGCTTTAAATATAATCTGCAAATACACACTGGAAGTCGAAATGCACACGCTTAGTCCCACCATAAACCTACAGCATGCAGACACATTCTCATCCTTTAGCAGGTCACATAAATGTTGCAACTGTACTGCAAATAATTTAAAAACACCTTTGATTAAGAAAAAGAAAGTGTTTTTGCAATACTGTTAAAATGTTCTGTCACAACATGAATGTTGATCTAACAGTGATGTGGTGTCTAATTAAATCACAATGAGAATGTAAAGTATGTCATCTGTATTTGACTGTGCAGTGCGTTTTATCCATTCACGTGTTGTTGATACCAAGATGGTGGAAACCTGGACTCCCAGAATACTTGAATTTCTAGAAATCGGAATTGTTCAACTGGATGCACAGCTGTCTTCTGGAGCTTAGATGGATGACAAAAGTTTTTTTAGATTTACTTTTAAGTTGCAGAAGGCTCAGGTGGTCTTGAGATCAGCTGTCTGTATGTTCGGAATGTGTGTGTTTTCAAGGAAATGCAAGTTTGTATTTTTTTTCCAGACAGATGAAACAAGAACCCTTTAATATTTAAAAGTAGCATCAAAATTAAAGCAATACTTTACCTTTTGTGACTATACCATTTCTGATGTAGCCAAATTCATTGAGATGTCTGCGGGATACAGTATGTTTCATTTGTTCAGTTTAAATAAATAGGAGCTTAATATTTGTCCCTCCCCAAACTGCTAGGTTGTTAGCAAGCAAAATGTTGCTGTTATGCCTTAAACGGGTTTGCCTGAATTATGTTTTACAGTGATTTTGCTTGGAGTTATGAAAGGTTGTTTGAGTCTGTGTGTGTTGGAGGGCAGGCTGAAAATAAGGATTGTCACAAGTGTTGATTATGATAAATGTAATACTGATGGTACATAATAAATTGCTTGATTTGAAATCTTATTTGTGCCTTGACATGATCAACTTGGTGTTCAGTTATCATTTTGTAAATTTTAAGTCCCCATGAAATTAAAATTGAAGTTGTTTGGCTTTTAGTAGGAATATGTTTGCCATAAGTTCATCTAGTGTGCTCCAAAACAATAACAAAATTTGCATTTACAAGATATAAGCATTCAAAACTTACAGTCTCTCACTTCTGCCAATATGAATCAACGATTTTGATGACATCACCCTGCACTTCAGCTTCTCATCAGATTTTCTTTCCAAATGCTCTCTAGAATCTGAAGTGCCCGGCCCCCTACACTATCAATACACACTGAAGCTGGGGCTGAAATCGGTCACTTGTTCACAGATGTAGTATTTTCTGTATGGTGAATGGCACGTAGTGCACTATATAGAAGATGGGGAACGATTCAGACAGTGTAGATATGCTACACTGAAAAACCATAACTATATCCTAATGAACTGGCAAATTACAGACCCATTTCAAATCTTCCATTTATGTCTAAAATTTTTGAAAAAGTTGTGTCTGCTCAATTGTGCTCCTTCTTGCAAAACAATGATCTCTATGAAGAATTTCAGTCAGGTTTCAGGCCCCACCATAGCACAGAAACTGCACTTGTTAAAATTACAAATGACTTGATTCTTGTGTCAGACCAAGGCTGCAGCTCATCGATAGTTTTACTTGATCTTAGTGCTGCGTTCGACACCATAGATCATGACATACTCATAGATCGATTACAAAACTATACAGGTATTCAAGGACAGGCTTTAAGATGGTTTAGATCCTACCTGTCCGATCGCTACCACTTTGTTTATTTAAACGAGGAGTCATCTCAATTATCACCTGTAAAGTATGGAGTGCCACAAGGATCTGTCCTAGGTCCTCTGCTATTTTCAATATACATGTTACCCCTTGGTAATATTATTAGAAAATACGGAATTAGTTTCCATTGTTATGCTGATAATACTCAACTATATATCTCAACAAGACCAGATGAAACTTCTAAATTATCTAAGCTAGCAGAGTGTATTAAAAATGCAAAAGATTGGATGACCAATCATTTTCTCCTATTGAATTCGGATAGGATAGCGATATTACTTATTGGACCAAAAAGCAGTACACTGAATCTCATGGATTACAATTTGTAACTAGACGGATACTGTTACTTCCTCTACAGTCAAAAATCGTCTCGGGTTACTTAGACAGCAACATGTCTTTTGAAAATCATATTTCCCATGATACAAAAACAGCATACTTCCATCTTAATGCATCTCATAATCTTGTACTGCAGTTATATCTGATCAAATGCACATTATTATTCCTTAGCTTGGGTTGAACAAATAATTTTTGATTGGTTGGAACAGCAGCTATGCTAATTATGTCTCTATTTGTTTCTCTGTTTCTGGCACGGGATTGACATCCCAGAACGGATGAGGAGGAGGAATGTCCGTACTGTACTGGTTTAGACACTATTACAAGAGAAAGGTATAAACAGAAAATCATGACATATGTTGGACGTGATCCCTGTTATGAAGAGGAGCGATTTTTCAACTAAATTGAAATACTTGCCTGCCATCGAGGCGGTGGATATAGGCTAAGCAATTGCCTACCTGAACTAACCCTGATTGCAAACAAGCAATTTCGATAGTGAATCCCGTATTTATATGAGGGATGGGGGATATGTCACTCCTGAAACTTTGCTGTATGTACAGGGTATGTGGCCATTGGTCCTGTTAGCAGCACGTAAAACAAAACTTTTATTCAAATTCTGAATTGATTATAGCCTAGAAAGCGAGCAAATAGCACTTCCATATAATCACTAAAAAGCAGTCATTAACTTCAATTTATCGCAATCTCACAATGTTCCGTTATAATCAATGAAGCTCTCTAAACTGCACACATAATATCTTATTTACATCATGTGGCGTTTAGCATTGAGTGAATTCTGAATCATGCTAAATGTGTGAGAGTTGGCAGCCCTGTATCTATTTATATATCTCTTAAGATATTATTAATATCTTAATATATTATTATATCTTAACCATTTGCACACAAAAGCATTATCCGACTTGGTTCCTCCCGACCGCAGGCGCAGGTTTACAAGACTTTTCTATTTTGTAAGTTTTTCAGTCAATTTCTTGCCTTTTCCCCCCTTCTGAACAACAAATTTTCATACACAATAAAAGCTCCTTGTGGTTTCTTGGTTTGACCGATTTGAGCATCCATAAACAACTCAAAACACAAGCATTTTGAGTTTCTAGCGATTCCTATATAGAAAAATCACTTCCTGCTCTACAGCTGCATTTCGCGCCACAGCATTGACGTCATGTGCAAACAACCTATAGAGACAGAGCAATCCAACGCTCTCCACTGACTTTTTATTGCGGGAAGCTGCCTCCTTGTCATTTCTGACGTATAACAAAAAACAGAGCAATGCCTAAAAGCTGCTATGTGACAATGTGTACAGTAAATAAGCTAAAAAACCCAGAACTATGCTTTTATAAGCTGTCGACCTAAAAAAAACGAGCGTTTAGGACACAAAAGTAGAGCTCAACATGTCATATTACTCTGAGAACTGCGCCCACTGGAGGGAAATGTAATCGGCGACAAGACCATTCATTATTTTTAACCATGTCAAAGGATTATTTCACCACCCTATGTGAATCTGAGAGGAGGAGATATAGCTTATAAAAATGGAGTTCTGGGTTTGTTTACTGTACGGTGTGGGCATGGCCTAAATGCACTCTGTCTCTATTGGCTATTTTAAAGGGAGGCGGGGCTGCTCGATATCTCCTGCCATATCTTCCTGTTTCAGTTGAAATGACGTTACCACATAGAATATGCTGCGCGTTTCAAGGCACTTAAGTGGACCTTTAAAGGGGTCATATGATGCGATTTAAAATTTTCCTTTCTCTTTGGAGTGTTACTAGCTCTTGGTGCATAAAGAAGATCTGTAAAGTTGCAAAGACTAAAGTCTCAAATCCAAAGAGATATTCTTTATAAAAGTTAAGAGTCAACCACACCTACCTAAAACGGCTCGTTCTAACACGCCCCCACATATCTACCTCACTATGTGGGAAGTTTTGCATAACGCCGCCCAAATGTTCACGCAAAGAAAGAAGGCGTAACTTTTATTCTCGCTGTAGTATTGTTGCCGCCGCCGCCATGTCGTGAAGGCGCTGTGTGTTTCCTTGTGAAAGTGAAACTACTTTGTTTGGCCTTCCAAAAGAGGACGATATCCGCTTTGTCATGCCTAGAGCTGATCCGTGCTGGTCGCTGAGGGAATACATCAACTTCCTGCTGTGGATCGCTGGATCGGCTTTCACCGTGGACGAAGCGGAGTCCAGCCTGGGGTCGTCACATGTGGTTGCCGCAAGCCCGCCGGCCTCCACTCATTCAAGGCCGCCCTGTGTGATGCTGTGTATTTCGTTGTGAAAGCAAAACTACTTTGTTTGGCCTTCCAAAAGAGGACACGACTAGAAATTAGTGTTTAAGTTGTATTTACAACACTGTTCCAGAACAGTTCAACCCAAATATTCAGATGTGTGCAGCACATTTCATGGAGGACTGGAGGGGGGTGTGTGTGGGGTTTTGCATGTTGGGGGGGCACGAGTGAAATTAGACAAACTTGGGGGGGGCGCATGCCCTAAAAGGTTGAAAACCCCTGATGTACAGAATGTGGAAAATAACGTGTTTTTTTAACCTTAAACCACATAAACACATTTCATTACACCAAATACACAAAATAATGTTCTTTTTCAGCAACATCATAACCCCTTTAAATGCTTATTTAGTAATTTGTTGTGTAAAAATGTCTTTTGACAGTCTGATCAAATGAAAAAGATACTTTCATTCGTCAAACTGCAAGTGGAAGATCAAGTCAAATGCATCGGACCTTCCCATTGCAGTGTTTCCCACAAATTGTAATGTTATGCTATCTGGAAATGGTTACAGGTTTTATCTCACATTTTAAAGTTTTTAATTGGTAAACACTCCTTGTGTGTAGAGCTGCTATGTCACCGATTAAGTTTCTTGTTTTTAATTCTAAATAGCGTGTTAAAGTTATATGGGTCAACATACCTGGAACAACAGCATTGGTGAAAACGAATCCACGCCATTGATCATCCAATCTGAACCAAGAACTGAACCAAGAACTGAACCTAGTGTTTGGCACATGTTGTATTATGCCGCCATGCGGGCAGTGCTGGTATTACAAGTTTCTTAATAGTTCGGTTTAAAATTAATTTTCTCACTTGTAAGAACTTTTCACTTTAAGTCTTAGTCTGCAACGTCTATTTACATACAAAATGGTAAACAATTGTAACTAGAATCCTGTTATGAAAATGTCTCTCCCAGTCTCCGTCTCTCTCTCTTAATCCTGTCGTATTTAATTTGAGGTGAAGTAGATTTAAGCCACACGTTAGAGAAAATCTCGGATTTAACAGTCACTCTGAATTGCGTCAGAGGCACAGCAAGCAGAAAAACTGCATGACCAAGACTGAGGGGAAAATCTGGTAAAGCTAGTATCTTATCAGATCAGGGTGGAAAGTAATTTGCGTTTTTGAGCTGTCAGGTAGGCTACAAAACGCTCACAACACCTTTCTGTATTAAGTCATTGTAATTGTTACGACTTTACCTGCTGTTGTTTTTACAGGGTCTCGTGTTTAAACGGTAGGTAATGTTCGCAATTTGAAGATGAGATGAGAGAGGCTCGGTAAGCCTCTGTAAACCGCTATCCGCTGATGTATAATGAGGCTTCACGACTAATGATTGGCGCATTTTCACTTTGACCGAGTGTAAATAAATGCTCGACTGATGTCTGCTAGTATGCGTTTAATGACAGTCCCTGGCAAACAAGCACTGTATATAAATCATCTATACTTTGGGACGCAGCTCGTGAGTTTCTGTCGGTTGTAGGTGTAGAAAGAATTGGGATCCACAAAAAAATAAAGAAATACAATTAAAATAAAAACGCTCGTGAAAGACGAGTCATCTGTATTTTTTCACTATTTAGGAGTACACTAGCGAATATATGTTTAAAAATGATTTTACGAAAATATATAGGCCTAGGCTATATTTTAGAGCCGCCAAAGTTTGTATTATCTTAAAGGGATAGTTCCCGAAAATTTAAATTGTCATCGTATACTCACCCTCCTTGTTGTTCCAAACCCTAATTAGTTTTTTCTGTAGAACAAACACATACAAAGATATTTTGAAGAACGTGGGTAACCAGAACGTGGGTAACCCATTATATGGTAGCCATTGACTCTTTTTTCTCCTCAAAACTATGTAAGTCAATGGCTACCAGCAACTGTTTGGTTATCCAAAACATCTTAGATTGTGTTAAGCAGAAGAAATAAACTTTATTATTGTTGTATTTATTGTATTTTAGATCAAATAAATACAGTGAGCATAAGATACGTCTTTCAAAAGACATCAGAAAAATCCAAAAAGTTTACACCCCCCCCCCCCCCCCCCCCCCCCCAATCCCCAATCCCCAATCCCCAATCCCCAATCCCCAATCCCCATCCCAGCATCTTCCTTCAATTATCAGTTTACTTCCCGTCTTTACCCATGCTCACCTCTTTTTCCCCTCTGCCAGATAATGACTGAGATAGCAAAGGCACAGACTGATTCGGTGGTGTCCAGTGTGGAGTCCATGTTGGCGGAAGCTGTCCGAATACAAATACAGTGCAAGGAGCGCAGCGCGGAGCTGGCTGCAGCCTCAGTGGAGCTGCACGAGGAGACCCAGAGCCTGCGGGAGCACTGTGAGTCCACACAGCTGGACATGGCCCGCCTCCGACGGTTGCTAGACGAGCTACTGGATACAAAGCATGCCTACGAGGCCCGTGAGAGACAGACCCGAAAACTTAGCAAGCAGCTTTAAAGAAAGAGAACCATTTTAATGGACATACAGATTAGAATCGTCACATAGTGAATGCACGAGAGAGAGAGTAGGCTACAATGTAAAAAGTTATTTATATAATTTCAAAGTAATAAAGTTTCATTATGAGCAAACATGCAGTCCTCTAATGATTCTGCAAGCTTTCCTTAGTGAATTTTTGCTTCTCAAGACATTTATTGATGGACTGGAGTTGTGTGGATTATTCTGAGGTTTATCTTTTTTGACTTTTATTCTGATGGCACCCATTCACTGCAGGAGAACTACTGGTGAGCAAGTAATGTAAAGCAAAATTTCTCCATATCTGTTCAGGTGGAAACAAACTCATGTACATCTTGCCTGAAATTGTATGGAAAAGGGTGCCATTGTTTCTCTGGGCTTGTTTTTTAAAATTATTTTTCATATACTTATTTCATATAGCAGCCAAATGAAATCCCTGGGCATAAAATCCCATACACATTAAATTAAAAATATAAAAGAATTCATCATGCACCTTTAATACATAGACATATTGTGAGACCATAAGCATGTGGTTGATTTAATTGCTTTGATATGTTCACATAGCCATAAACTCTGACATAGTGGGTTCTACAACAGATTTAGTATTAATAAAAAAAAAACTGTGCATAATCCATAACCAGCAGATCTAAAACAATAGTAGTAAGTTAAATGAAAAAAGTTGCACGAAAAGGAGGAGAAATGTTTTGATGATGATGAAGCATTTAGTGGACACTGGACAAGGACACCTTGTTTCTGAGGACTTTAGTGCTGTGGGCAGCACCTCAGATTTGGCACTTCGCCTATGGAAAGCAGATACCATCACAGGCCAAATTATGGATTTATGTCCCTGTCATCCCAAACACACACACACTCCTACCTCCCATGGCTGTGTGCAGGAAAAAGCCATTAAAAAATGACACATCTACTGGGCACAAGATTAATAGCCAAACACTCTCGGAAAGACACTCTCAAGCAGTTTTGCCCATGTTAAGGACGCCAAGGACTACGAGTAGGAGAAATGTGAAATTAGGGGGGAAAACACTTATGGGACATTCCTGGCCCACAAAATAGACATAGGAGCACTGTCCAATGGGATTTACAGAGTAATTCATATAAACAGACAGCAGAGGGCGAAAATGTTGTACATTGACGTAGAGCAGGTTTTACTTAAGAAAGGTTAAAAGTTGCACTACAGTGGTTAACTTGGTTTGACTCCAGGTCAATAAGGTTCAGTTTAATGGTTGTTGTTATTATACAAAAGTCTTTAAATTGACTTAAGTACTCATGAAGTGTTTTAGCCAGAGAGTCATGGTGTATAAATATAAAGCCTTTTTTTTTAGATTTGAGTATCAGCTCCTCAAGTTTACTTTTTGATATTGTTTTACCGCTTATAAAAACACTGACAATGCTGTCAGATTTGATCTCTTTACATAAAGCGGTGTCTCAATCAGTTCAGGTCACACCACCAATCTGGCAACCGCGCACTATCACCTGCCAGGTCTGTGCTGCCAGCCACTGATCAGTAACCATGGCAACTAACCCTTGGCAATGCTAGTGAACAAAATCAAGACCGTATACTGGCGCTGCCAAAATCCTCTCGGCTCAGCTAGCCAACTGCTAGCCAGCAGTGCGATTGTCAATGTGAGTGTATGTATGTGTGAGTGAGTTCGTTCAGGCGGCACATAGACTGCTTTAGTGTGGAGCGACATAGATTGGCTGTGTCTCTGCTCACTAAGACTGTCCTGGGTGGTTGAAGAAGGGCTCAGTTTCAGAAGGGGTCGCTGATGGGTCCTCTCCTACTGTCCGGATTTCTGACCCTTTGTTACGCTGGATCAGGACCAGAACTGCTATGATCAACCAAAAGAAGAAATTCACCCATACTGCTGTCTAAGAGAGAGAAAAACAAAAGTTTCTTAAAGATGATATTCCAAAATATATAAATAAACAAATAATAAAAAGTGATATTTGTAGGGCATTGTAACTGGAGACATGGCTATTTTTTATTTATTTTTTTACAAATAAATAAATAAAATAATTTCATGATAAGGTATTTTATCTAGCTTTTCTCTATATTTTATCCTATTGATCTTTTATTTTATAAGATATTTTGTTTTTTAAAATGTCATCTTTCAAATTTTACTTTTTTAAAGAATGATTTCTGAAGTATGTAACACTACGGACTACAGTATTGGCTGCTTAAAAAAACTTTGATTTGCCATCATAGGAATAAATTAACTTTTTAAGTATATTAAAATAGAAGACTTTAAATCAAACAAATGCAGCTTTTTGACCAGTAGTGTGAAATATATAATATTTTCAGATATTGCCAAAGCAACAATTTTCATTTTTAATCAGTTAAACTTAATATACTATGACAACTAAAACTGAAATAAAAATGATTCAAAAACTAGATATATTAAAAAGACATTTTACCAAAAAAAAAAATAATAATAATAATAAAAATGGCAAAACACAGAACAAAATTCCTAATTTAAAAATAAACAGACAATACAAAAATAAAAACTATTTTGAAAGTAATTCAAAATACATATGAAAAGCGATTACAGTATCTATTGTGTTTGTGATCAAAGGAGTTTGTAGCTACAGTACCTCTGCACTGTGAAGTCTGGAGTAGAACTGGCTCCCATTTATAGGGCTCATCCAAGGCTTGGTTTGCCCTTCCTCACACCTGCAAATGCACAAAACAGTGTAGATACACTCATGAGTCCCACAAGTCATTTATGGTTATCATCATGTTCAATACTGTCTGCCTGCAATAATCAAAAGCTATTACAGAGGTCTCTCTTTCTCACACTTACTTGGTTATATTTTTCACTGTATGAAGCACTGAGTCACACAGTCTGTCTCGGCCGATTTTCAGGATGCATCCCGTCACCAAGAGGAAGAAGAGGAAGACTCCAGACAAGCCAAGAGTAATATTCATCCATAATTTCTCTCTGATATCAGACAACATTGCACAATGTTTGCATTACATTTTAGAAAAAGATAGTGTTGCTATTATTACTTTTTTTTTTTAATCTTAATGTTTTTAACTATTTTTATGAGTATTCCTAGTAACTTACAGATTTTTTCACATTTAATAATGGTGCATTGAGGGGATGCTGATCATTTTGTTTATATCATAATGTATTAACAGCTTGTTATTAATATATATATAAAATATATATATATATATACAGTGGGTACGGAAAGTATTCAGACCCCCTTAAATTTTTCACTCTTTGTTATATTGCAGCCATTTGCTAAAATCAGGATGGCAGAGGATCCCCAAATCCAGGTGTGAACAACTTGTTGCATCTTTCCCAAAAAGACTCATGGCTGTATTAGATCCAAAGGGTGCTTCTACTAAATACTGAGCAAAGGGTCTGAATACTTAGGACCATGTGATATTTCAGTTTTTCTTTTTTAATAAATCTGCAAAAATGTCAACAATTCTGTGTTTTTCTGTCAATATGGGGCGCTGTGTGTACATTAATGAGGAAAAAAAATTAACTTAAATGATTTTAGCAAATGGCTGCAATATAACAAAGAGTGAAAAATTTAAGGGGGTCTGAATACTTTCTGTACCCACTGTATATACACACACTACCATTTAACTGTAGTTAATATGTTTTTGTAGTTAATATTTTTGCTCACCAAGGCTGCATTTATTTGATTAACCTACAGTAAAAATAGAAATACTCTGTAATATTATTACATTATTACAATCTGTAATATTATTACAAAAAAGTGTTTTCTATTATATTTTGATTTCCTTCAGAAATCATTCTAATATGCTGATTTGGTGTTTAAAAAAACATTTCTTATTAATATCAAATCTGAAAACATTTGTGCTGCTTAATATTTAACAATAACCATGACACTTTTTTCAGGATTCTTTGATGAATTAGAAACCTCAGAAGTGAAATGATTAAATAGATTATTTAAAATCTTTTGTAACATTATTTAAGTAGTTCCCATCACTTTTGATCAATTTAATGCATCCTTACTTGAATAGAAGTGTAAACTTCTTTAAAAAAAAAACTCACTGACCCCAATGTCACATATCTAAATACTAACAACTTATTTTTATGAGTTTGCATCATATCCATTTAGAGTTCCACCTGCAAGCCATTCATACTAGAGCACGGCATAACAGGAAACAGAAACGGAGGTACCTTCAGATAACCCCTGTTCTCATTCTTGAACCAAACTCACGAGCACGTGATTTACAGTATTCCTGGACATACCTTTTCACCTCTCCGTCAAAACAGGCGATGTAGATCCAGTAGAGAGTGAGTGAAAAGCAGAAGATGGCCACACACACAGAGATGGCAGACACAAAGTAACAAAGGGAGGGAGAACTGGATGAAAGCACAGCGATGGATGAGGAGTTCAGACGTACGGAACCATACAGCATGCACTTCCCATCAAAACTTCCCTGTTTAAGTGAAAAAAGAAAGAGAAAATTCTGGGTTACAAAAATGCATCGTGTTATGAGCAAAGTAAACACTTTTCATGAATACGATATAACAGAGCTAAAGTTCCCCCCCCAAATTTTTTTTTTTATTCATTTTCTATGGGGTAATAGATTTAAATTAAGTTACTGAATTTTTTACAACAATGGACTGAATATAAATCTAATCAATTGTCAAAATTATTAATATATATTTTTTTTGCACTTCCCATCAAAACTTCCCTGTTTAAGTGAAAAAAGAAAGAGACAATTCTGGGTTACAAAAATGCATCGTGTTATGAGCAAAGTAAACACTTTTCATGAATACGATATAACAGAGCTAAAGTTCCCCCCCCCAAAATTTTTTTTTATTCATTTTCTATGGGGTAATAGATTTAAATTAAGTTACTGAATTTTTTACAACAATGGACTGAATATAAATCTAATCAATTGTCAAAATTATTAATATATATTTTTTTGGGGATGCAGTTGGTTAATTGTTGGTTCAATACCTCAAAGTCAAAAAGAAGTGGAATATAGACATTTGATGCATTTCAAAAGATACTTCAGATGTTTAATGCTATGTTAGATAATAGTTTATCAAACATATCTATTACATAAAAAAACGATTTGTGCCTCTAAGCCTGTTTTTTTTTTTTTTTAAAGTACAGCAAAGTATACATTTTCAGTGCAATGTGCCTGTGCTATATAAAGACCATCATTCTTGGTGGACAATATCTTTACTGTTTTTTTCCCCATCTTTCAATCTTCTCCTTATGCTAGCACGATGAAACCTGACTGAGGCGCCTTCAAACATTTTTTACACACTCTTTTTCTTCTCATCTGACTTTAATAAGCCAATTACTCTATGGAGCAGATTCTCAGATGGTCACATGACAGAAAGAAGTGGCGAGAGTGACCGAAGTGGAATATTTATCAGTTACTTCTCCTATCACACTTTCAGTTTCTCTTCACTTCCGGGTTTTACTTTTAAAACGTATTAGTTCTTCTGCAGCTTGGATAAATACACTTGACCTTTTTCAAAAACATTTCTGGTCTTATTTTCTTCAGTCACATGACTATGACGATTTTAAGGGCAGCTCGTGAGAGTACAAGCACAAAATACCTCTAGAGGGAAAGTTATGATTTTACATGTCGATATTGCTAGAGAAAACACATTCCATGCAAAGAACTGTGCTAAACAAAGCTGTAAACTTTAAACAATCTTTCAGCTAAAATTATCAAAGTTTGAAACTTGCATTTTGCTTCCGGGCGCAAAGCACCGTGTATCACCAAGGTAAAGTCTGTTATCGCATTCTGTATGAAATAACAAACAGCAGATACCTGTGAGATTGTAACAGAGGCGGCTGTGACGATCCCGCAGATAAAACAGCTCCCATACAGCAGCAGCTCCAGCAGCAGAGGCCACGGAAGCGCCATAGCGTGTCTTTAACCAGCCGCTGCGGCGCACATACACACTCATCCGCCCAAAGCGCATCATGAGTTAACGACGATCATGTGATCGCACAAAAGCTTCAACTGAACCACATTCCCTTGCATTTTTAAGTATAGCATCAAAATAGGTCACATTTATGATAATGACCATGCCACCTTATATTAGAAAAATACAAAAATGTTTTGTTTTAAATGTTTTACCTACTTCTAACTAGATTTTA